CGTCCCTCTTAGCAAATCTTAAAGTATAAAATACAAAAGTATAAAATACAGAATTATTCACTACAGGCACTGTGCCGTACGGCAGATCTCTGGAAGATCTTCACCTTTTTTTTACTTTTTCACTTTTTAATTTTTTTAATTTTAATTTATTTTATTTATTTGACAGAGAGATACACAGCAAGAGAGGGAACACAAGCAGGGGGAGTGGGAGAGGGAGAAGCAGTCTCCCCACTGAGAGGGAGCCCGATGCGGGGCTCGATCCCAGGACCCTGGGACCGTGACCTGAGCCGAAGGCAGACGCTTAATGACTGAGCCACCCAGGCGCCCCAATTTTTTAAATTTTTTAAGTAAGTGCTATGTCCAAGGTAGGGCTTAGACTCATGACCCCAAGATCAAGAGTCCCATGCTCTACCACTGAGCCAGCCAAGTGCCCCAGGACCTATTTATTCATCTTCCCTAACAGAAACTTTAAACCCTTTGGCTAATACCTCCCCATATCCCCAGCCCCCAAGCCATCATTTTACTCTCTGCTTCTATGAGTTTGACTATTTTATATTTCTCGGTAAGTGGTATCATGCAGTGTTTGTCCTTCTGTGTCTGGCTTATTTCACTTAGCATAATGCCATTTAGGTTCATTCATGTTGTTGCAAATGGCAGGATTTTTTTTAGTTCATTTTTTAATGGACTCAAGAACTCCCAACTCAGGTTTCTCAGAACTCTGTTGCAGTCTCAGGCTCTTCCTCCCCAATCTCGTTCCTTCCCCTTCCTCTTCAGGTGTCAGGTCCATGTTGCTACCTCAAGTCTCTCCCCACTTCCCCTGGTTCCCTCCCATTCACAGATAGTCCCACAGTAATTTTTTTAAAGATTAAATTTAGGGGCGCCTGGGTGGCTCAGTCGTTAAGCATCTACCTTTGGCTCAGGTCATGATCTCGGGGTCCTGGGATCAAGTCCCTCGTTGGGGTTGCTGCTCAGCGGGGAGTCTGCTTCTTCCTCTCCATCTGCCCCTCCCTCCCTGCTTGTGTGTGTGCACGCGCCCTCTCTCTCTCTCTCTCTCTCTCTGAAATAAATAAAATCTTTTGAAAAAAATTTGAAAAGATTTAATCAATTAGGGCGCCTGGGTGGCTCAGTTGGTTGAGCGACTGCCTTCGGCTCAGGTCATGATCCTGGAGTCCCGGGATCGAGTCCCACATCCTGGCTCCCTGCTCAGCGGGGAGTCTGCTTCTCCCTCTGACCCTCCCCTCTCTCATGCTCTCTATCTCATGCTCTCTCTCAAATAAATAAATAAAATCTTTAAAAAAAGATTTAATCAATTAATGAACTAATTTTTTAGAGATAGTGCTCAAGAGCTAGTGGCAGGGAGGAGGAGAGAGAGAATCTTAAGCAGGCTTCATGCCCAGTGTGGAGCCTGACTCAGGGCTCGATTTCATAATCCTGAGATCATAACTTGAGCCCAAATCAAGAGTTGGATGCTTAACCAACTGAGCTCCCCAGGCACCCCTAAAGATTTTATTTTTTATTTTTTTTATTTTTTGTTTAAAGATTTTATTTATTTATTTGAGAGACAGTGAGAGAGAGAGAGAGAGCACATGAGAGGGGGGAGGGTCAGAGGGAGAAGCAGACTCCCTGCTGAGCAGGGAGCCCGATGCGGAACTCACATCAAGAGTCACATGCTCCACCAATTGAGCCAGTCGGGTGCCCCAGGCTGGAGACTTTTGATGGTATAACAAAGGTGCAAATCTTTTGTTGGGATTTTTTTTTCAGCAAACTTACCCCCCAGTGAGGGGCTTGAACTCACGACCCCAAGATCAAGAGTGGCATGCTCCGCCAACTGAGCCAGCCAGGTGCCCCACCAGTGATTCTTTTAAAAGAAAACTTCGAACATGTCACTCTCTTTCCAAAACCATGTGCTGGTTCTCCATTTCACTCAGAATAAAAGCCAAAATCCGTTTAGTGGGCTACGATCACTCCCCATTATTCTTCTTCCCTTATGTTTCACCTCCCCGGCCACACTGGCCTCCAACAGGCCAGGCTCACTCCTGCCCAGGGCCTGGGCACCAGCCCTTCCATCCGTCTGCAATTCTCCTTCCCAGGTATCTGCAGGGCTCACTCCTCACCTTTCAGTCTTTCTCAGATGTCACCTTTGCAATGAAACCCATCTCGACCACACTACAGCATTGGAAAACCACCACCCCTGGGCACTTCAGATTCTCTTATCCTTTTTCCACTTCTGTTCTGCCAAAGCACTTATCAGCACCTGTTGTACTGTGTCACTTAATGATATATTTTATTTATGATATATTTGTTTATGGTCTGTTTTCTCTCCTCCAGAATATAAGCCCCACAAAGGCAGGGATTTTTGTCGATTCTGATCACATGGTTGGCATTCAGTGAATATTCTAGAATGAAGTGCCTGAAGACAATAAAGCAGGGTGCGGTGAGAGTGACTGAGCCAGCTACTTTAGATAAGATTACTTGCTAGGCCGTGAACTCCTGGAGGACAGGGCTGGGTCGAAATCACCAGTGCCCTACACAGAGTGGAGAGAGAATAAATATTTGTTGAATCTCATTGGCTGAACTGAGCCAGAAGCCAGACCAGGCATCTCCTGAGGGTGGTCCTACAGGAATTGCCAGTTTATTGACTACTCTTACAACGCACTTGGTCATGACACCTCCCGGAACCTGCTCCTTTCTGTTTTTATGTTTGCTGGAATTCTGCACTTAAGAATGGCTTCTACCAGATTCCTCTGCATTCTGACAGAATTGACTGAATATCTATCATCTATCATCTATCTATCTATATTTTTAAGATGGTATTTTTAAGTAATCTCTACACCCAACGTGGGGCTCAAACTTACAACCCTGAGATCAAGAGTCTCATGCTCCCCTGATAGAGCCAGCCAGGTGCCCCTGTTTTCCTTATATTTTAGGAGGAACAATGACTCAGAGAAGAGGGAGGTGGTCAGGAGTGTGAACAGAGAAGAAATTCTGTTTTGTTCCTTGGATCAGGGATTGGGCCATTGGGCTACAACTGCAGGGAGACATAGGTTGTGCCCAGCATCAAGAAGTCTGTAGCTCTAACTATGCTGGGGACTACTTCTTACATTAATAAACTTCCCTTCAGGGGAAGTGTTGAAGTGGAGCCTGGATGGTCATCTGCTGCAGGTTGCGAGCCTGACTGGGGAAGGAGGTCAGGCTGACTGACACCCAGGGTCCTGTTTCTGAGATGTGGAGCTTCTGTGCCTTGATTGGGCATTGGATGTTTCTTTTTCTTTCCTTCTTTTTTGGAGTAAGCTCTACACCCAGTGTGGGGTTGGGACTAATGACCCTGAGACCAAAAGTCACATGCTCTACTGCATCAGCCAAGCACCTCAAGCATCAAATGTCTCAACCCCAGAGAGCATATTTCTACTTGTGAAGGACATATTTACCCTGAAGCATATACTTTACTATAAGTCTTAGTAAAAATTCTAAATTTTTTTTTAAGATTTTATTTATTTATTTGACACAGAGAGAGAGAGCGCACAAGCAGGGGGAGCGGCAGGCAGAGGGAGAGGGAGAAGACTCCCTGCTGAGCAGGGAGTCCGATGCGGGGCTCGATCCCAGGACCCTGGGATCATGACCTGAGCCGAAGGCAGACACTTAACCAACTGAGCCACCCAGGTGCCCCAAATTCCAAATTTCTTAGCAGCACAATTTTCACAAATACTGTTGAAGCCCAGGGTTCTAATCTCTTGCCTTAGTTCTTGGCCTTCCCACCACACTTTCTCTTTCTCCCTCCCCTTCCAGCCATGACCCCCAGTCCCCATAATTATATTCTCCCATATGTATATATATATATGGGAGAAAAATATATATACAAATTATATATATAGTATATATATATAATATAGTATATCTATAGTATAAATATATATGTTATATATTTTATTCTCCCATATTTTTTAAAAAACAAAGCATAAAGAAAATGCTAATTGTTCGGAGAGTCACATTACAATATTTAAATGAAATTAACTTCAAGGGTCCCCTAAATCTGAAGTGGGGGTGGGACTGTGTTGTTGGAACCTCAACTAACAAACACCAGGCCATTTCTGAAGGCTGTTGGAAGGCCTCTAGCTCTTGTGTAAGGTGGGCTTACAGCGCTGTGTGCTTTTTGTAATCTATTTCAAGATGATGTCTCTCAGTCTCGCCTACCAAAAAACTGAAAACAATTTCGAAAATATGTTGTAGTTAAAATGCTAGCTGTTGACCTTTGGCAGGTCGCTTGGCCTCTTGCGAACTCAGATTTCCTCTTCCGTTAACCACCAGCACACAACAATCTGCTCGAAGCCAGGTTCTCTGCTAAATGCCTACCTTATAGGTTGTTGGGAGAAGTAAAGAAAATGGTAGTATTAGTGAACCTTAATTGAATAGTTTTCTGCCAGCCACTGGACTAAGGACTTTTCTACGTGCTGATTAAATCTCCACAAAAATCTTAAGAATGAGATAGTACTATGTTTGTTGCACAAATGTGAGGGATGAGGTTAAATGACTTAACCAGGGCCACCCAGCTAGTAGCCGCAGTAGGCCTTGGGTCTGGCTCTTAGTCACAGTGCGTAGGTAGTCTGTGCACATACTGGAAAGTGCTGTAGAAGGAAGTAGAGCTGCCATCTTTGAGGGTTATGGAGAGTCCTAACATTTTCTCCTGTCCACCCTCCGCCCTTCAGAATTTAAATAAGGGTGAAACCAAGATCAAATAGTCATCTCAGGCAAGCTTGAAGGGGGAAGGAGTGACAGAAGCAGTAGTCTGAGAAATGTGTGGGACTAGGAATGGGGGTGGCTGGTGGCCCTATTGCTTCAGCAGCCAGCCGGCAGGGCTGGAAAGTTTGCTGGCTCTATGGAATGAGCTTCAGCTCTTTTTCTTTTTGTTTTTAAACAAGGATATATCTCCTTTACATTGCCAGCGGGAAAAGAGAAAAGCGAGGAAGGGAAGGAAAGAAAGCTTTAATAGAGGGTTGAGCCTGTCGATAAAATCCATTTTATTTTTCTCATTTGTAAAACCATTTAACCTCTGGACGCTTCAATCTTCTCATCTGTAGAAATAAAAATAGTATTCTGCTGATAGAATTGTGGTAAGCATGAAATGAAGTAATAGGTGGCAAGCACACGGAAGTTTAATTAATGTTAACAATGCAAGTAATAGTGATATGATATGTTTACACCTTAGTTCTGCCCATAAACGCACACTAAATCCTGGCAATGATTATACATTTGCTGTTTTCCATTGGAATCAGGCAAACGTGGGAACAAGCGGTAATCGGGGCTAGAGCACCCTCTGGTGGCGTAGCTGCCACCAACACCACCAACTGTCCGGACCTCCCCCGCCCTGGGGCTGGAAGAGAAGGCTCTGTCCTGCTGTTAACCACTGGTCCACACTCACCCAAGAAGAGCAGCAGGGAGGCCACGCGACAGGTGCTCCCATCGCAAAATGTTACCGTTAACTCAGAAGGATGAAGAAGGATTCCCTGCGTTTGAATTTGAGCCCTATGAAACTAGCTGGTAGTCATCCATTTCTGACCCATGATAATGGCAAGTTCATAGGGTTGAAGCTAATAATTGCTGCTGGATGGGGAGTAAGTAAGAATTTGAGTGTGTAAGATCTTGCCATTTGCAACGACGTGGATGGAACTGGATGGTGTTATGCTGAGTGAAATAAGTCAATCAGAGAAAGACATGTATCATATGACCTCACTGATATGAGGAATTCTTAATCTCAGGAAACCAACTGAGGGTTGCTGGAGTGGTGGGGGCTGGGAGAGATGGGGTGGCTGGGTGATAGACACTGGGGAGGGTATGTGCTATGGTGAGCGCTGTGAATTGTGCAAGACTGTTGAATCACAGATCTGTACCTCTGAAACAAATAATGCAATATATGTTAAGAAAAAAAAAAAGAAGAAGATAGCAGGAAGGGAAGAATGAAGAGGGGGGGAATCAGAGGAAGAGATGAACCATGAGGGACGATGGACTCTGAGAAACAACGTGAGGGTTGTAGGGGGGGGGGGGGTGGGGGGATGGGTTAGCCTGGTGATGGGTATTAAAGAGGGCACGTTCTGCGTGGAGCACTGGGTGTTATGCACAAACAATGAATCATGGAACACTATATCAAGAACTAATGATGTAATGCATGGTGATTAACATAACAATAAAAAATTTGAAGAAAAAAAAAAGAACTTGAGTGTGTAAAGTGCTAAACCAAGGAAACCAAACAGATGACGACTTAAGAATGACTTCGTGGCCTGTGGGGTCTAGAGGTAAAGAGGAACAATTTCTCACACTTAGTCAAACCCCTCGGTTTATAGTTGAAAAGTGCTTTTCAAACATCTTTCAAAGTCCTCACCATATCAGAAAGTGGCAGGAAAATAAGAGTGAGAGAATTCTTTTCTTGGTTCTTTGGCCAAATTCTATGGTTTCCAGGAGATTCTGCTTGAATTCTTTTCAAGGGTCTTCACCGAACTGAAATCGTTCTACAGTTTCTCCTACTATCAGTGGCCAAGGCCAACAGCATTGGGAATTATAATTAGACTGAGAGATCTTGTAACACAATCAGCTAATACACACTTCCTAAAGTTTAATATCCTGAGGCTAGAGATATTGCCAACCCTCAGAATCCTGTTAATGACTTTGGAATAATTACACTTATCATTTTGTACATTTAAAGCCAGTAAGAGAAAATCAGAGTACCAAATCCCAATTCACAAGAGTAGATTGATTACGTAGAATGTTAAAACCATGTATTATAGCACCACATTTTGGGCATGCCTCATGAGAAAAAAATATTCAAGCTCTGATAGGAGTCTCATCACCACAGGACAGGTACATGTCATTTTCCAGGAGATGTACATACAGTAAATGATCTGCTAGAGTGGCATTCCCAGTTGGGGGTTATTCTTACTCTAATATGGAGGAATTTTATACTCAGCCTGCTGGGAAGACTGTTTTCACAATGTTCTATGTGTCTCCATCTTGCAAACCAAATCTGGGTCTCCCCAAAATGTCAACTTCTAAATCTTACATTCTACAATTTAAAAATTACTGAACTAAAATAAGTATCAAATTATAATTTTCTAAAACTTTTAGAGAGCTCAATATTACTTTTTAAAAAATCTATACAAGAGGTGTGCCTGGCTGGCTCCGTTTTTGGGCGTCTGCCTTCGGCTCAGGTCATGATCCCAGGGTCCTGGGATTGAGCCCTGCATGGGGCTCCCTGCTCAGGGGGAAGCCTGCTTCTCCCTCTCCCACTCCCCCTGCTTGTGTTCCCTCTCTCGCTGTGTCTCTCTCTGTCAAATAAATAAATAAAAGCTTTAAAAAAATCTATACAAGAAAAAAGGATCTATACAGGAAAAGAATGTAAATGATTCAAGCACTGGTAGCTCAGGTACCTTCTGAGAAACTTCTTGAAGCATTTGTTTAAACCTTGCACTTGAACTCTGCATTTTTTTTCAAGGCGAACAAGCATATATTTGTTCTCCTTAGAGCTTCTCATAATACCTCTATTATCCTCTCTGCTCGCTCCAAAGGCATCCTATTAAATTACAAACTGCATCCCTAATCCAAGCTTTTCTTCCTGAGATGAAGGCATATTCCGAAGTTAGTTCTAAGGCTGACACAACTTTGCAGGGTCTCCAGGAGGCTCCCGTTGTAAAATTCACATCAGTCATTATTTAAAATGAAGCCGTCAGTTTGCCAGAAAAGCTAGTCTTTGTGCCGTGACTCCCCATTTGTGTCCTATGCCCCTGCCAAGCATCATCAAGTCGAATGGGGACTCAGCAGATGTGAACCACACACGCTGAACAAACTCCGCACAACAGCGATTACTGTTCTGACCAAGAGTTAACTTTGTCAGGGGAAAAACCAGCGGAAAAACCACGGATCCGGTCTTTTGTACTCAGCACTGCTTAGGGGGCAATGAGGAATCGGCCTCATGGCCCCAAATTGAATAATAGTGTTACTCACATATGAAAGAAAGAATACTGCTGCCTACTTTTAGGAATCCTATTCAGGGGGCGCCTGGGTGGCTGAGTCGTTAAGCGTCTGGCTTCGGCTCAGGTCATGATCCCAGGATCCTGGGTTCGAGCCCCGCATTGGGCTCCCTGCTCCGCGGGAAGCCTGCTTCTCCCTCTCCCACTCCCCCTGCTTGTGTTCCCTCTCTCGCTGTGTCTCTCTCTGTCAAATCAATAAAATCTTAAAAAAAAAAAAAAAAGGAATCCTATTCAGATACAGCAGTGAGCTCCCAGAAATTGACCAGACAATCAGAGATCATTTAATGCAAGTGTCCTCAACCTTATGGCAAAACACAAACAAACAAACAAACCAAAAAATCTTGATGGGTCAGGAGAGAAGATACCAGAAATAGTCGAGTTTGCAGAGGAGCAGGCCTCAGGGCCAGCCACACCCCCTTCCTTTGGAAAATCTCGGCAAGGCAGGGAGAACAGTGAGGAGGGGGTTGAGGATCTACTGGGGAGTAGGTCACTACCTCCTAGCTAGAGATCCTTGCTTTGATGGAACCCGTGACAACCGACAGATTCCCCAGCAGGGAGACACGCAGTCACATTTCACATCCTGCTTTCAGTGGCAGGGAGGGCACCCGGCAACAAGACCACATTCAGAGCCTGGACAAGCAATTGTGTACATGGAAGCCTCAGATCTTATCCCAAATCTGTTGGATGAACTATCAAACCATTCTCTCGGGTTATTTCTAAAATCACAACCCATAGACAAGCCTCTGACTGGTTGGGCCTTGAGGAAAAGAGAAACGGGCTAGAGCCTGTGGGGGTAAGCCGCGGGGGTAAGAAGACCATTCTCTGGCACATGAGAAATGGTACTGCCAAACCCAGAATGTCACCCAACAGTGCCTACCTGAGTATTCTTTTTGCTTGAATGTCTTACTTCACGAGCTGGCACGCAGCTTGGTGATTTCCCATTTTGTGGATAATCCAGATGTACCAGGTCTCGGCAGTAAGAATGACATATATATTTACCCTCTGAAAGAGAGAGCACGTGAGGTTCCTGGTTAGATACATGTGGCAGAGGGAAAGTGAAGCCCCCAAACCAAAAGCCAGCGTCTGACCTGGAGTAACGAACATGTGTTTGTGCGAGGCCCATTTGTTCACAGCAGTATGTGGGGCCATTTAAACCTTGACTGTCTTGGCCTTCACTGAAATCTAAACATAATATATCGGTGAATATATTTCACAAAGGGGATTAGGCTACTCTATTTTTTTGTGTGCAATTTTTCAATTGAGATAAAGTTCACATAATGTAAAATTCACCATGTTAAAGAGTAAAATCCAGTCTTTTTTAGTATAGTCATAATGTTGTGCAAACATGATCTAATTCCAGAACGCTCCATTCACCCCAAGGACAAATCCCTTACCTGTTAGCAATCACTGTCCATTTCCTTCTTCCTCTAGCCCCTGGCAACCGCAAATCTACTTTCTGTGGATTTGCCTTTTCTGGACATTTCCCATGAATAGAATCATACAGTCTGTGGCCTTTTGTGTCTGGCTTCTTTCAACCAGCAGGTGGTGGCACATATCGGAATTTCATTCTTTTTTATTGTTGAATAATATTTCATTGCCTGGAAGGGCCACATTTTGTTTATCCACTTATTGGTTGATAGATACTGGGTTGTTTCCATTCCAAGGAATGGAATTTCTGGGTCATATGGTAACTGTTTAATTTTTTGAGGAAATGCCAAACTGTTTTCCAACGTAAATGTCTTTAAAAGAGCTCTTTCTGGGGCGCCTGGGTGGCTCAGTTGGTTGAGCGACTGCCTTCGGCTAAGGTCATGATCCTGGAGTCCCGGGCTCGAGTCCTGCATCGGGCTCCCTGCTCAGCGGGGAGTTTGCTTCTCCCTCTGACCCTCCCCCCTCTCATGCTCTCTCTCAAATAAATCAGTAAAAATCTTTTAAAAAAGAGCTCTTTCAGCCACATTACAACACATAGATAAGAAATTCTATAACTCTGTTCACCAGCAAATAGAATTCTCACAATACTAGTCTAGTAACAGGATCCGTTACATTATGAAGTACTTAAGGGACCTTATTATGAAATAACCTCACCCATTAAAGTAGTATTATCCAGGTAAGAAAGACCCTGCAGGAAAATTTAGAGTGGGGATCTATTCACAGTTTTTATTCTAGCCAAGGATAAAGCCGTCTATATCATCATCATCATCAAAATGTTTGTGTGTTGATGCTCTGATCAAACCTATAGGAGGGTAACAGGGACCTGGCTTACAAAATAGCATCCAAAGGTGACCTAGAAGTCAGAGCCTCTAGAGTCAAACTCAACTAATTTGCAGAGACTTATTCCTCATGCATGTGTACATTCTTAAATCTTAAAAGTTCGCATAATGTAAAATTCACCATGTTAAAGAGTAAAATCCAGTCTTTTTTAGTATACTCATAATGTCGTGCAGACATGATCTAATTCCAGAACACTCCATTCATCCCAAGGACAAATCCCTTACCTGTTTTACCAAAAAATGCTAGTGCCGACTTCATCCCAGGGCTTGTTAGACAGTTACTGGAAGACTCAGCAACAGTGACAGAAGACTGAGTCTCTGCCCTCAGTGGGAGGAGTGGGTACCAGAAGCACTCCTCAAGATACAATGTGGCAAATGCTATAACATTATGATGGGCACACAGAACCGGTATCTGCCCGCTTTTTGAACCTGGCAGAACCCCAGGCTTTCCCATGCCTTCCCAGGCACGCCTCTCTACCTGAACACCCCACCACCACCACCATTCTCCTTCCAGTGCCACAAGCCTGAATGCATTTTTCCATCGCTTCTCAAGAAAGATTCAGGAGCTGCAGACTAAAGCTTAGAAGTCCTTGAGTCCTTTTAGGAAGAATCTGAACTGCAAAACACATGTCTTTGATATTTATAACTGGTCACAATAATGCTGGAGTTAGTGTTCCATCTGTTATGGAAAATTAAACCTACCGAGCCGTCCTGTAATAGACGCTGCATGGCGCTGGTGTCTCCAAACTTCATCTGACTCATGCAAAATTTGAAAGCATATTTGCCTACGAGAAATAAAGCTCACTTGTGAACTGGCTTATAAATGAACTCAGATGATGAGACAGCGAAACAGCAGACCCCACCGAAGCATTTATCCCCAGCCCTGAAGGCCACCTGGGTCTTTCTAGCACATCAAAGACAGAGACAATTGAACCAACGTGGAGGCTCCTCGTCCTCCCAGAAGCCCAGGCACCAGCCGACTCAGAAGCAGAGGTAACCTACCGGGTCTGTGAGTTTTCTTCACCTGAAAGCTGATTTTGCCAGAGAGCTTATAAATGGCAGTTCCCATCTGTGAGCCCCGGCTCGGCCGTGTAGCAAGAGAGGGAGAGGGAGAGAGAGAGAGACAGCTGAGGGCAACAGGCTGAGCGGGCCAGCCCAGGCTGACCTGTGGGCCTCAGAGCCCACCAGGAGGCTGGGCCTCCCTCCATTCCCTGGCTTCATATATTTTCCAACTGGCCACCAGCACGCTCAGCAGTTCACTCACTGGGGCTGTCAAATGCTCACAACCATATCCATAAATCACGTGAGAGAGGTCAAGGGAGCATCTCCAGACCTCAGCAGTGATTGGAGATGCCTGTAATGTGGTTGTTGAGGCCTCTGGACACAGTGGAGGCAAGCTGGGTGATCTTTGGCCAGCTGTGCCTTCCTTTCTTCTATAAAACGAGGAAAATAATTGTCCCCATCTCACTGAGCTCTGATCAGTATGAAAATTGCTTACGGTGATGGTGCTGTCACAGTAACCGCTCTACAGGGTTAGCCATTGATACTGTGTTGTTGCAAGAAACCCCGTGCTTTTCTTGTTAAGAAAATTTGCATTTGGGGGCTCCTGGCTGGCTCAGTCAGAAGAGCATGTGACTCTTAGTCTCGGGGTCGTGAGTTCGAGCCCCATGTTGGGTATAGAGATTACTGAAAAAATGAATAAATCAACTTAAAAGAAGAAAATTTGCATTTGTGAGCAGGGTTAGTGACTCACTGGAATAGTGGTTTCTAGCTACTTCCAAGAAACCCCACTTCATATGATAAAGCAGATCACAATTCTCAGTGTTTCAGGGAAGGGACCACTGTAAAACAGCCACGGATGAGAAGAAGCAGGCTGCTCATTAGCATTTTCAATCAAATCCATAAACGGGACTCTTTTCTATTTGCACCAATAATCCACAATCCAGCCTGAGAGCAAGAATCGCTGCCTGGTGTCATCCTTGCCTCTTGTGAGAACTCTTTCTAAGCCTTCTGTCCTCAGTGGCCACTTCCTGGTGGTCAGAAATCCCACAGGTTTTCTGATAGCCCCTCGCCTCTGGTTGACTTTGGGGTGATTTTATCCCTTGGGTGAACTCTCAAGACAGCCCTCCGAGGAGGGTTGTGTGGCTTCCCTTCTCTGGTGTCCTGAGGAGAAGAGAAGTGATCTCACCAAAGCCAGGTCTCATGGAGGGGGGCTCCAGGATTTGGTGCAAACCCTCATGGCACAAAAATAGCATTTCTTGTTTTTCAGCTGGCTCTGTCACTCACCAGCACGGAATCTACGTTCTCAGCTTTCAGGTCTGTAAAACTAAGGGGCTTCAAGGTCACCTCTAAGATCTCTGTAAATTCTATTTTCCTCTGAGGTTCTGAAATGGGAGTTTGAACAACCTAGGGACAGAGGGATGCCATGGAATCCACATGAGGTTAGAGGCTAAATATGGTTCATCTTTCAGGAGCACTGACATTTTTTCATATTAAAACAAAACTAGGGGTGTGATGAAATGCTATACCAAATTCTCAGGTTTTTGTTTTTGTTTTTTGTTTTTTTAAGAAAAAAGTGAGATTAAAATCATGTTCAGGGGCGCCCAGGTGGCTCAGTCGTTAAGCGTCTGCCTTCGGCTCAGGTCATGATCCCAGGGTCCTGGGATCGAGCCCCGCATAGGGCTCCCTGCTCGGCGGGAAGCCTGCTTCTCCCTCTCCCTCTCCCCCTGCTTGTGTTCCCTCTCTTGCTGTGTCTCTCTCTGTCAAATAAATAAAAATCTTAAAAAAAAATCGTGTTCATTTGGGAAAAAATCGTGATGATGATTGAACAACAGTGTGAATATAATTAATGCCACTGAATTGTATATTAAATGTGGTTAAAATAGCAAATTTTCAGTTATATATATTTTTACCACAATAAAACAAATTTAAAAAACAATGTTCAGGTAGACTAGAGAGTCCAGAAATAACTCACACGTACTTGGTCAATGAATTTTTGACAAAGGTACGAAAGCAATTCAGTGGAGAAAGGATGCTCTTTTTAACAAACGGTGCTGGGACAATCGGATATTCATATGCTTTTGCACATTTTAAAATAAATTGCAATTCGTACCCCTTGCCATATACAGGAATTAATTCAAAATGGATCATAGATCTAAATGCAAAAGCTAAAGTGGGGCACCTGGGTGGTGCAGTTGGTTAAGCATCTGACTCTTGATTTTGTCCCAGGTTGTGATCTTAGAGTCATGAGATTGAGTCCCATGTCAGGCTCCACGCTCAGCATGGAGTCTGCTTGAGTTTCTCTCTCCTTTTTCCTCTGCTCCTCCCCCCTGCACTCTCTTTTAAACAAATAATTAAATCTTAAAAAAAAAATAAATGCGGGGTGCCTGGGTGGCTCAGTTGGTTAAGCGGCTGCCTTAGGCTCAGGTCATGATCCTGAAGTCCCAGGATCGAGTCCAGCATCGGGCTCCCTGCTCAGTGGGGGGGTCTGTTTCTCCCTCGGACCCTCTTCCCTCTCGTGCTCTCTCTCTCTATCTCATTCTCTCTCTCAAATACATGAAAAAAAATCTTTAAAAATAAAATAAAATAAATGCAAAACCTACAGCTATAAAATTCTTGGGGAAAACAGGAGGAAATCTTTGTGACACTGGGTTAGGCAAAAATTTCTTAGAGAAGATGTCAAAAGTATAATTAATAAAAGAAAAAATTGACGAGTCAGATTTCGTCAAAATTAAGAACTTCTCTTCAAAAGACTGTTAGGAGAATGAAAAGACAAATCACAGGCTGAAAGATTTGCAAATCACATATCTGATACAAGAATATAATGAATCTCAAAATGTATAACTAGAAAGTAAGCAATCAATTAAAAAACAGGCAAGAGATTTGAATAGACTTTATCCAGAAAAGATATACAGATGGCAAATAAGTGGATGAAAAGATGCTCAACATTATCAGTCATTAGAGAAATGCAAAATGAAACCACAATGCAATACTGCTACACACCTATTAGAATGGCTAAGATGGAAGGGACCATGGCAAGTGTTGGAGAAGAGCAAACAGAACTCCTTCGGTACGCTGCTGCTGGGTAGCCTGCAGTTTCTTCATAGGCTGGTATACATCTACCGTATGACCCAGCCATTCCACTCCTATGTGTTTACCCAAGAAAAGGGGAAAGCATATGTTTATTTATTTTATTTTATTTTTTTAAGATTTTATTTATTTGACAGAGAGAGACACAGTGAGAGAGGGAACACAAGCAGGGGGAGTGGGAGAGGGAGAAGCGGACTTCCCACGGAGCAGGGAGCCCAACGCAGGGCTCGATCCCAGGACCCTGGGATCATGACCTGAGCTGAAGGCAGACGCTTAACGACTGAGCCACCCAGGCGCCCCAGGAAAGCATATGTTTATACAAAGACTTGTACACAAATATTCACAGCTGCTATATTTTTTCATTTATTTTTTTAAAGATTTTTTAAAAAATTTATTCATTCGAGACACAGAGATACAGAGAGAGAGAGAGAGAGAGAGAACATGAGCAGGGGGAGAAGCAGAGGGAGGGGGAGAAGCAGACTCCCTGCTGAGCAGGGAGCCCGATGCGGGGCTCGATCCCAGGACTCTGGGATCATGACCTGAGCCGAAGGCAGACGCTTAACGACTGAGCCACCCAGGCGCCCCTCGTTTATTTTATTATTTAGTTTGTTATTTTTTTAGAGAGAGAGAGAGTGCATGAACATGGGTAGAAGGAGCAGAGGGAGAGGGAGAGAGAGAATCTCAAGCCGACTCCACGCTGAATGCAGAGCCTGACGCAGGGCTTGATCCCACGACCCTAAGATCATGACCTAAGCTGAAATCAAGAGTCAGATGCTCAACTGATTGAGCCACACAGGTGCCCCTATTTTTTTAAAGTAGGCTCTATGTCTCGCGTGGGGCGGGAAGTCATGACCCCGAGATCTAGAGTCACATGGTCTATCTACTGAGCCAGCCAGGCACCCCAAATAGCTCTATTTTTAAAAACCCCAAACTGGAAACGACTCAAATGTTTATAAACAAGTGAATGGACAATTCAAGTTGTAAAACAATGAAACACTATTCAGTCATTTAAAAAAGTGAACTAATTTGGGGGCGCCTGAGTGGCTCAGTCAGTTGAGCTTTGCCTTTGGCTCAGGTCATTATCTTGGAGTCCTGGGACTGAGCCCCGTGTTGGGCTCCCCACTGAGCAGGGAGTCTGCTTCTCCCTCTCCCTCTGCCCCTCTCCACTCTTGTGCTCTCTCTCGCTCTCAAATAAATAAAATCTTTAAAAAAATGAACTAATTTGATATAATACACAACGTGGATGAATTTCAGGATAATTATACTGTGTGAAAGAAGCCAGACAAAAAAGAGTACACATTCTGTAATTCCACTTACATAATTTTCCAGAAATGCAAACTCATCTATAGCAACAGAAAGCACATGGGGGTGAGAGGGGCAAGAAGGGTGAAAAGGAAGGATAATAAAGGGGCATGAGGAAGTTTTGGGGAGTGATGGATAGGTTCAAGATATTGACTATTGTGACTCCCAAGGTTATGGGGTCAAGGTTTTCTGAGATGGGAGTAGCTTGGTAGCAAAGTATATAGGTATAAGGTCTAAGGTAGCAGGGTAAACGCATAGTACTTGAGGGGGGAACGTCTAATCAAGCTGGATTGCCACAAAATCTGAGATTGCGTCTCCTGAGATCTATTTCTTCTCTTTCTCATAGGAGTAATTTGGGTGAACAATCTGTTGATTAGATTTCCCTGTATTTTTGCAAGCAAATGATATTGCCTATGTTAGTGGTGAGAATATTTTGATTACAAGTAGTAAGAAACCTGTCTCTCTTTTTAAAACCTGTCTCAAAATGACTTAAGCCAATAAGGGAATTTATTGGCTCACATACTGATAAGTGCACGGATATACTACATTCATGTATGGTTGGATCCAGAAGCTCAAACAAGATCGTTGGCTCTTGATTAATCCCCATCTTTCTTCTCTCTTTCCCTCCATGATGGATCCCTCTTTGGGACGGTCTTCTCTCATGGTGGCAAGAGGACTCTCAGCAAGTCCTGGCCTAGATCTAGCAGATACACTGCTTCCTTTTTCTAAGAGTTCCATCGAAAGATTCAGGATTCACTCTGGTTGGATGGACTTACATGTCTATGCCTAGATGTTAGAAAATGTTGATTGGCCAGGTTTGGGTCATGAGCCTACCCACAGGTCAACTGCACAGAGGGAGTGGCTTCTAAAGAAAATCATATAACCACTATAGCTTTAACATTAACCCCTGTGGGGTGCCTGGCTGGCTCAGTCAGAGGACCATGTGACTCTCAATCTCGGGATCGTGAGTTCAAGCCCCATGTTGGGTGTAGAGATTACTTAAAAGTAAAATCTGAAAAAAACCCAACAGCCAAAAACATTAACCCCTGCAAAGATAAGCTAACAAGTAGCTTAATGCGGTGTTTAATTTTATTTCCTGAAAATTTGGCTTTTGGGAAGTTAATTGTATTTTATGTTAAATATACATAGAATAGACTCACATGATTAGAAGGGGCATTTAAGGTCTAACCACTCAGTGTAGCAGGTTTCCTATACCCTACTCTTTTTAACCTGTGGCTTAAAAGCTATTTGTGTTTCATCGCACATGACTATTCAGTCTAGAAAAAGGCACATCAACGTAAAAATAAGTCACCCCTGGGGCACCTTGGTGGTTTGGTCGGGTAAGCATCTGACTCTTGATTTCAGCTCAGGTCATGATCTCAGGGTTGTGAGATCCAGCCCGTGCTGGGCGTGGAACCTGCTTAAGATTTTTTCTCTCCCTCTGTCCCTCCACCAACCCCTCTCTCTCTTCCTCGATTTAAAAAAAAAAAAAAAGTCATCCCTGTTGCCCTAGGCACTTTCTCTAGAGAGTACTTAATTTTCCCAGCAACCTATGGGAGTGTTACAGATGAGGGGACTGAGGTTCAGAAAGGTGAAGTGACTTGTTGGAGGTCAAAGTTGTGAGTGGTGAGGGGCACGAGAACCCAGCCCCATCTGACACTAAAGCTTGTGCCCTTAGCTGCTCTTGCCACAGGCCGCCTCCCGTCTGCAGCGTGACGAGTCGCCAAGTCTCAGCTGTACAGGGTGTCACCTCCAGGGCTCGGCGCCTCAGCCTCCCCTGTCCTGTGTGCTGAGCGCCAAGAGCAGATAGGGATGAAATGAGGTGAATCTGCGCTTTCAACTTTCTCTTCTGCTTCATGCTGAATGGAGGTTATCTTTGTAGCCAATTTAATATATAAAAGTTATTTCCAATTTGCTAACATCAGACTAACAAAAGAATGTTCCCTTTTCAGTACATTTCCATTTTTTTTTTTTTAATTTCAGTAAGCTCTACGCCCAACATGGGGCTTGATCTCACAACCCTGCGATCAAAGTTGCATGCTCTACTGACTGAGCCAGCCAGGTGCCCCCTCACTATGTCTTTTAAGAACCCTGTAAAACCAGCAGTTTGATGTGGAGTAAAGAGTACTGCCCTAGTTAGGAGACCTGAATTCCTCTATTTCTGGCTTTTCCAACAATTCCCTGTGTGGACCTTGGAAAATCCACTTAGCCTCTCTGAGTCTCAGGTTCCTGAACTGAATTTGGATTAGACCAGTGTTTCCCACGAGCGGTACATAACACGGCGGTCCCTAAAACAAATGGATTAGATTTTCAGTAGTTATGTATTAATTTTAAGGTGTAAAAAATATAATAGTACATCAAATCAATTATTTCCCAGGTATTGCTTTTTAGGATGATGCTAAATAAAAAGGGCAAGTTATTTAGTAACAAATATTATGTAAAGTCTAGTAGAGGGTTATGCAGGCATGACAAAAATTGTGACAGCAACCTGTGAACGCCTGATGTTTGGCAAGCGCTGGACTAGAAAACAAGACCTGCCATTTACTGAGCATTTTTTACTATGTGCCAGGAACCCTGCACTTTATATGCATTATTTTTTTAAAAAGATTTTATTTATTCATTTGAGAGAAAGAGAGAGAGACAGAGATAGAAACAGAGCACAGGAGCAGGGAGGAGAGGGAGAAGCAGGCTCCCCACTGAGCAGGGAGCCCCAAAACGGGGCTCGATCTCAGGACTCTGGGATCATGACCTGAGCCAGAGGCAGACACTTAACCGACTGAGTCACCCAGGTGCCCCTAATTTTTTCTAAGTAGGCTCCAGGCCCAAGGTGGGGCTTGAACTCTCGACCCTGAGGTTAAGAGTTGTATGCTAAAAAAAAAAAAAAAAAAAGAGGGGGGGGGGAGAGAGAGAGAGAGAGAGAGGGGCATGGTCTACAGACCAAGCCAGCCAGGCACCCCTGCATTAATTTTTTTAATTCTTTTTACTTTTTATTTTTTTATTTTTTTATTTTTTTTAAAGATTTATTTATTTATTTGAGAGGGAGAGAATGAGAGAGAGAGAGAGTACATGAGAGGGGGGAGGGTCAGAGGGAGAAGCAGGCTCCCTTACTGAGCAGGGAGCCCGATGTGGGACTCGATCCCGGGACTCCGGGATCATGACCTGAGCCGAAGGCAGTCGCTCAACCAACTGAGCCACCCAGGCGCCCAATTCTTTTTACTTTTTAAACATTTTTAAAATTTTTAAGTAATCTCTACACCGAGCGTGGGGCTCGAACTCACAACCCTAAGATCAAGAGTCACATGCTCCACCGACTGAGCCAGCCAGCTCCCCCCCTTTTTTTTTTAAGAAAAAAAAAACCAATCCTACGTGATAAATGCTATCATAATCACCCTTATTTTATAGAAGAGGACACGGGGGACAGAGAGGGTAAATGGCTTTCTTACTGACACTTGCCAGGATGGGGCAGAGCCAGGGTCTGACCTCAAGCCCTGTTCCTCGTCGTTGTGCTCTGCGGGCAATCTGGGTGGAGTGCGGAGGGCTCACCGAGACACAAAGACGGGATCCAGGGATGGAGGGGCTGGGCCGGTCTCCGCCGAGGCCCGCAAGAGGCCCGCAAGAGCATCACCTGCGGAGAGTGGTCCGCGCGGCCTGCGCAAGTGCCGGGCATCCCACCGGAGGGGCGGGACAGTGCCGGCCTTGGACGCTCAGCCCAGGGAGTTCTTGGAGCAGGGGGCCTAGAACCGGCCGCCGCAGCCCCGGGAATACTTAGAAGACTAGTCCCTGCTGGGACATGAGCTCACTTGGCTCTCCACTCACACTTGAGGCTTTTCTCCGCTTGAGGGACAGAAGTCAGGTCCGGACGTCGTGTTTCGTCCGCCTGTTCCTTTCACACACATCGCAGCAGCCACGAGGGACCAACTGATCCTTATTCTCGAGGCTGTTCTGACAGCAGAGCTCTACGTTCCTGGTCACCTACCGGTAGGTAGCAAGAGAAACTCCCAGCGCGGAGAACGCGAGGGAAGTAGACTTTGAAAAAATCCAGTGTGGAACCAACGTGCGATGGCGCTGCAGAACCGCACCCGCTCACCACTACCACCCGCCGCACCTGCTCCCCGCCCCCCCCCACCGGCAGCCCGCGCATTAGGACCACAAGCCGGCTGAGCGTAGGGGGCTTACAGAGGCTGAAAACCAAGTGGAACAATGTGTGTGGTTTTTCCGAAGAGGCAATGAAGGAAAGAGATGCTCGTGCCCCCAGGCACAGCTTTACTAGTCAGGCCTGCCCGAAGAACCGCCTGGAAGTAGAACAACAGTTGGCAACCAAAGCTGTAAGGAACAGGGAGCCACCGAACAGAGTGCAGCTTGAGGATGAGCTTTACGATGAGTACTTTAGGCACATCACTCTGGGGGAAGCTGGGGGCCTGAAGGAAGGGAGGAAGGATGATTGAGAGCAAGAAGACCAGCTAGCAAATGACGGCGTCGTGTCTCTGTCAACATCTGGTGGGACTAGGGACCTCCTTCCCTCCCCACCAGCCCTCCAGCCCTTCCTGAACTGGTCCCCTGAAGGAATGGGGTGTGGCGCAGGTAACCAGCCTGAGGACAGAACACCTGTCCTTGTTGGGCACAGCTGGTTTGGCTTCTCCTTCCTGAGGCCATCCCAGAGTCCAGGGCCTTTGGTCTTAGTCTACAAGTGACTCTGATCATTTGTAAATTTGGGAGCTGGTCCTCACAGAAAGCTCCTGCCACAGGCTGGTGGATTTGTAGGCCAAGGAGGGAGCTCTTGGAACCTCAGGGAACATCTTTATCCACGAGGCAATGCCTGCATAAGGAAGCCCAGTCTTTGGAGCAAATGAAAAGAGAATGGAGGGGCGCCTGGGTGGCTCAGTCGTTAAGCGGCTGCCTTGGGCTCAAGTCATGGTCCCAGCGTCCTGGGATCGAGCCCCACATCGGGCTTGCTGCCCTACGGGAAGCCTGCTTCTCCCTCTCCCACTCCCCCTGCTTGTGTTCCCTCTCTCGCTGTGTCTCTCTGTGTCAAATAAATAAATAAAATCTTAAAAAAAAAAAAAAAAGAAAAGAGAATGGAATTTCAGAAAAAGAACAGGGTGACAGTTTTAAAAATTTGGGCATCTTCCTTTGCCCAGAGATCAGTTAGCACCGCACCCCACCCCCCAATCCCACCACCCTGGATTTGGGGAATGGAGTGGGTCTTGAAGCAACACTCTGTTTCTGGATTCCCAGAGGGGCTCAGCAGCCCAGAGTAGTGGGAGGGAGGGAACGGAGGGGACGATATCCTTTCCCCGCTTTACCAGGGAACCAGATTATCAGGTGGTACGCTTTGTTACATCTTAAACCCCTGCCAGGACAGAGAAACTTCTGGATCCCCGGCCTCTTTAGCTGAAACCGAGTAGGTGGATGGCTCTGGAGATCACAACCAAGAGGATAACTTCGGGGGTGGGATGGGGGAGACTTCTTGGCACTCCTGGGACCCAACTTGTGCTGCCTTCTCACCAGCGAGATCTCAGTTCTCTTGGCACAAAGTCCAAGGAGGCGGATCATCCAACCATCTGATGGTGGCCAATCCTGAAAGTGCTCTTGATAAGAGACTTAATTAAATGCTGTACGTGTGCTTGCTGGGCTCAGTGGGAGGAGGACGAGGTAGGGCGAGGGATTAAAAAAATGTTAACTGCGGGGGCACCTGGGTGGCGCAGTCTCAGGGTTCTAAGATGGAGCCCCAGTCTCCCGGCTCAGCGGGGAGTCTGCTTCTCCCTCTCCTCTGCCCCTCCCCCTGCTCCTGCTCTCTCTCTCTCTCTCTCCCTCCCTCTCTCTCTCTCAAATAATAAATAAAATCTTTTTAAAAAAATGTTAACCGCATATTTCCCCGACAGCACTGAGCACATCCTACTATGGTGGCTAAAAGAAGCTGAAGACAGGTCGCTGCCAACTTCTCCCTGCGCTCCCTGCAGCCCCAGCCGTCCCGCAGGGGCTGAGATGAAAATAATAGACTTGACATCTGGAGAACAGAAGTTCTGTTGCAATTTCTGTTTTTATTTTATATGCTCTCAAAAAAAAAAATAGAGAAGGAATAGTTTCGAGCCTGGAGAAGATCTATCCTGTCACATAGGCTTTTTGGTATCTTCAAAGGTGCACTACTTTGCACCTCCCGGATCCGTCTGGAAAACAGCGTCACCGGAAACACAGTGCATTGCCAAAGGCATTTGCTTTCATGCCCCCTGGTGTTCCAAAAAAGCTTGCTGTTTCCAAAGAACTTCCAAGTGCGAAATTAAAATTTTGAAGCTTCACAAGTTGAACTTTGTATAATCTCACAGACTCCTCCTCTCCTCTGGAGATGAATCAAGCCAGCAGTAGAAGGGCTGTGTTCCCACTGTTTGGGGCAAGGGACCCAAGAAGGTGGGTGGAGAGCTCTAACTCAGGCGCAGCTGAGACAACTAGTCATTCCTCCCCCCCCCACCCTGCTTCTGCTGCTTTCAGCTGCGGGATCTGCGCGAGCTGGTAAGCCTCTGAGCCTTTGAGTTTCTCTGATTCCTTCTTTAGCCAAAATAAAATGGGGTGGGGAATCAGGAGGCCTGCAGTGTTGCAGTATAGGCCACGGACACAGAGTCGTCATCCAAAAAATGGTAATGACCGTGATAAAACTTTGGAAAACAGAACCATAAGACACGTGGAAGAAAGAAAAATATTACCCACCATCCCAATACCCGTGGACACGATTCTTTCTTCCTTTGTGCATGCTATAGGACCCACATGTAATTTGTCCGCATCACATTACCCGGTGAGGACTTTCAAAATTAAGATTTCTCTGACTTTAATTTTGGCCTAGGCAGAGTCTCTGTCTTCTTAGTACAGCCCCCTGACCCTGGGGACGGATCAAGGGCAAATGTGGGCCAGTGGGGAGGTGAGGAAAAGCCAGAAATGTCATCATCTGATCAGGATCCCAATCTCAGCCTCACAGGAGGGATGTTGGTTTCTTGCCACTGTCTAAGTAGTGGGGGACAGATTTCTCCATCAAAGAGCATTCCTCAGCTCCCCGTCTGTCACTTCCTACCTGTCTGAATGAGAGGCACAGCCGGCAGGGGGCACGGTTGAGCTTGACAGCAGGGAACGGATGGTGGCGGCTGGTCCCTAACATGGGAGGCAACAAGGAAGTTCTTGGGTGAGGCAGGAGGCATAAGTCTCTGCACCATTTCAGGCCATAACTGGGGAGCTCCTGCACTGGTGAGGTACTCATTCTCCACACACTTCTAAAGATGACCCTGCAAACCATTTCTAGCTGACGGCCATAAACGTGGCTCAGTCCACTCACCTGCTCCCAGTTTGTAGACTTCTTTCATCAGCAATCACAACTGGGAGCCCTAAATTTAGCCAGTTGACACCACCTCCACTTATTCTAAAGAATGACTGACTCTAGCTTCTTTGGGCTCTTAAAACATTTAAAAACATTTTTTATGGGGCGACTGGGTGGTGCAGTCGGTTGGGCACCCAACTCTTGGTTTTGGCTCAGGTTGTGATCTCGGGGTGGTGGGATCGAGCCCCCAGTCGGGCTCCGCACTCAGCACGGGGTCTGCTTGAAGATTTTCTCTCTCCCTTTCCCTCTTCTCCCTCCCTCCCACCCCCTCTCAAATAAATAAATAAAATCCTTTTTTAAAAAAGATTTTATTTATTTAAGAGAGAGCAAGCGAGAGAGAGCACCAGTGGAGGGAGAAGCAGAGGGAGGAGGGAGAAGCGGGCTCCCCATTGAACAGAGTCTGACACGGGGCTCCATCCCAGGACCCTGGGATCATGACCTGAGCTGAAGGCAGATGCTTAACTGCCACCCGGGCGCCCCAATAAGTAAATCTTAAAAAAAATTCTTTGGGGGGTGCCTGGGTGAATCAGTCGGTTGAACATCTGACTCTTGGTTTCAGCTCAGGTCATGATCTCAGGGTCCTGGCATTGAGCCCTGTGTCAGGCTCCATGATCAGCATAGAGTCTGCTTGTTCCTCTCCCTCCCCCTCTGCTCCTCCCATTACTTGTGCTGTCTCTCATATAAATAAAACCTTAAAAAATATGTTTTTTAAACTTTAGGGGGGCCTGGCTGGCTCAGTCAGTAGAGCATGTGACTCTTGATCTTGGGGTTGTGTGTTCAATCCCCACATGGGGGGGATGAACCCCCCCTTGAACCCTTGGGGTCCATTACTTAAATAAGCCTAAAAGTTTTTTTCTTATTGTGTGAGATCTATCCTCTTAATAGGTTTTGAAGTGTACAATACAGTATTGTTATCTATAGGGACAATGTACAGCAGATCTCTAGAATTTATTCATCTTGCATAACTGAAATTTTATGCCTATCGACTAGCAAGTTCCCCTTTTCTCTCTCCCAAGCCCCTGGCAACTACCATTCTGTTCTTTGATTCTATGAGTTTGACTATTTTAGTATACCTCACAGAAGTGGAATCATGAGTTAGTTATCCTTCTGTGACTGGTTTATTTCATTAGTACAATATACTCAAAGTTCATCCATAGTGTCACATTTTGCAGGATTTTCTTCTTTTTAAAGGCTAAATAATATTCCATCATATGTATAGACCACATTTTTTTAATCTACCCATCTGTCAATGGACACTTGGGTTGTCTCCGCATCTTATTGTAGTGCTACAATGACTGTGGGGAGCTAAAATCTCTTTGAGATTCTGATTTCACTTTTGGAGGGGATAAATCCTGAGACTTGGGATGCTGCAACATATGGTAGTTCTATTTTAATTTTTTGAGAAACCTCCATATTGTTTTACTATTTTCTTTTCTTTCTTTCTTTCTTTCTTTTTTTTTTTGGTAAGGATTTATTTATTTTAGAGAGAGAGAGAGAGTTGGGGGGGACAGGGAGGAAGGGCAGG